TTTTTGTTTTTTTTGCCAATAAGAAAGTATTGATTTTGATGCAGCTTTGGATGGGTGTGACTTTGATGCAACTTTTTTTTTTTTCTTTTGCTAATAGGAAAGTATTGATTTGGATGGGTGTGAGTTTAATGACTTTTTTTACCAATAGGAAAGTATGACTTTGATGCAGCTTTGCATGAGTGCGACTTTGATGTGACCTTCCTTTTTTTTCTTTTTTTTTTTCTTTTTGCCAATAGGAAAGTATTGATTTGGATGGGTGTGAGTTTGATGACTTTTTTTTAGTTTTTTTTTGCCAATAGGAAAGTATTGATTCGGATGGGTGTGAGTTTGATGTCTTTTTTTTAGTATTTTTTTTTTTGCCAATAGGAAAGTATTGATTCAGATGGGTGTGAGTTTGATGTCTTTTTTTAGTTTTTTTTTGCCAATAGGAAAGTATTGATTCGGATGCAGCTTTGGATGGCTGTGACTTTGATGCAACTTTTTTTTTTGCTAATAGGAAAGTTTGACAGTTCTGTTCATGTAGTGTGACACTTGAATGCGACTTCCGCTCACGTCACTTCCAGTTCATCCCTATGAGTAAGTCAGATATGACGAAACATGTCAGGGTGGGACTGCGGCAACCAGAAGTGATGTGAGCTGAACTGGAAGTGACGTGAACAGCGCCATTTTTGTGGAACTCGGCGGTAGTGAGAGCACTGCAGAGATTTCCGTAACTTATTTGTCTGGTTTCTTTATCCGCAATATGTTTTATAGCTTGTAAGTGGCTGTCTATTGAAGCGAATAAAGGAGCTGTTTTGTACTGCACCATTGGGCTTCTCTTGTGCTTGGTCTTTTTGTTCGACCATCTGAGAGATGATTGCAAATGAGGAAGGAGATTGGCTGTAGATCATTCTTAGCACCTTTTATAGCAATTATCAATCAATCTATGCAATGTCATCTGTGTATCTTGAAAAGATGGATATCTTTGGTGAATCGGAGGAGGGGATTGTCATTGAGTGGGAGTTGATCTTCTTCTCTTTGGATGAACATCTTTAAGCGATTTAGCCAAACATGAGAATGGGAGGCACAGCTATGTGGTGAGTGCACACCCCAAAAGGGGAACAATATGTATTGTGCACACGTGGTGATTTCTCTTGGATCCCTATAAAGGAGTAAAAGGAAATGTGAGATTGGTGAAAGGACAGTATAGTTTTCCCTTCAACTAGAATGGAAACTATACTAGTCTCCCCGAACCCTGCATTCACTATATCTGGTCTCCCCGGACCCTGCATTCACTATATCTGCTCTCCCCGGACCCTGCATTCACTATATCCGCTCTCCCGGACCCTGCATTCACTATACCTGCTCTCCCCGGACCCTGCATTCACTATATCCACTCTCCCCGGACCCTGCATTCACTATATCTGGTCTCCCCGAACCCTGCATTCACTATATCTGCTCTCCCCGGACCCCCGCATTCACTATATCCGCTCTCCCCGGACCCTGCATTCACTATATCCGCTCTCCCTGGACCCTGCATTCACTATATCTGGTCTCCCCGGACCCTGCATTCACTATATCCGGTCTCCCCGGACCCTGCATTCACTATATCCGGTCTTCCCGGACCCTGCATTCACTATATCTGGTCTCCCCGGACCCTGCATTCACTATATCTGTTCTCCCAGGAACCTTCATTCACTATATCCGCTCTCCCCGGACCCTGCATTCACTAGATCCGCTCTCCCCGGACCCTGCATTCACTCTATCCGCTCTCCCCGGACCCTGCATTCACTCTATCCGCTCTCCCCGAGCCTGCATTCACTCTATCCGCTCTCCCCGGAGCCTGCATTCACTCTATCCGCTCTCCCCCGGAGCCTGCATTCACTCTATCCGCTCTCCCCGGAGCCTGCATTCACTCTCTCCGCTCTCCCCGACCCTGCATTCACTATATCCGGTCTCCCCGGAGCCTGCATTCACTATATCCGGTCTTCCCGGACCCTGCATTCACTATATCTGGTCTCCCCGGACCCTGCATTCACTATATCTGTTCTCCCAGGAACCTTCATTCACTATATCCGCTCTCTCCCCGGAGCCTGCATTCACTCTATCCGCTCTCCCCGGAGTCTGCATTCACTCTATCCGCTCTCCCCGGACCCTGCATTCACTATATCCGGTCTCCCCGGACCCTGCATTTACTATATCCGGTCTCCCCGGACCCTGCATTCACTATATCCGGTCTCCCCGGACCCTGCATTCACTATATCCGGTCTCCCCGGACCCTGCATTCACTATATCCGGTCTCCCCGGACCCTGCATTCACTATATCCGGTCTCCCCGGACCCTGCATTCACTATATCCGGTCTCCCCGGACCCTGCATTCACTATATCCGGTCTCCCCCGGACCCTGCATTCACTATATCCGGTCTCCCCGGACTCTTCATTCTCTTGGAGCCCTATACAAGAGTAAATGGAAATGTGAGATTTGTGAAAGGACAGTATAGTTTACCTTCAACTAGAAAATGTTGGTTGACATTACTTTGGGGGGGATGTAGGAACTAAAGTAAAAGTAAGGGCTCGTCCGGGATTTGAACCCGGGACCTCTCGCACCCAAAGCGAGAATCATACCCCTAGACCAACGAGCCAGCTGATGTTGGTGGTTATGTGAGAAGTGTTCAGATGTGGGGGATTTGGGTCGTATGTATGTATGTATGTATGTATGTATGTATGTATGTATGTATGTAGGTAAGTACATGGAATGTGTTTGCTTGTTGCTGCACTCACCAGAGTCCCGCACAGGTACTCCATACAGAATACAGTAGTACATGTCGTCGCCTGTTACATACCCTCCTTAGAAGCAGTGTAACAAACCTTCTGCAATAGCAAAGTTCACCCCGGAGAGTAACCTGATCTGTACAGCTCTGCGTAGTCTCAGCAGATGGGACGGCTTCACTGAGGAATGAAAACTGTGATATGAATGCCGCAGCCGCCATGTTCATCCTACATTGCACAGCACAAGGCATTAGGAAGGCTTTGCTCCGCCCCTGTCCTGTTTAAAGTGATCCTAAACTTTTTTTGTTTTTTTTTTTCTTTTTTATGACAAACATGTTCTACTTACCTGCTCTGTGTAGCCCCGGTCTTCTCTTTTGCTTTGGTCCCCCCACTGGCAGTCCTGGCTACTCCCCCCGTCCTCCGTTCCCCAGCTGAGTGCCCCAATTAGCAAGGCTCTTGCTATGGGGGCACTCAAGCAGGCTCGCTCCTGTGAATGGACATTGTCCCTTCACACATAGAGCGTGGCTCGGCGTCGGCCCCTGCACTCTTCACTGGCTATGATTGACAGCAGCGGTAGCCAATGGCTCCTGCTGCTATGTAAGCCGATGAGTGTTACTAAACCCCAGACCCTGCATTCACTATATCTGGTCTCCCCCGGACCCTGCATTCACTATATCTGGTCTCCCCGGACCCTGCGTTCACTATATCTGGTCTCCCCGGACCCTGCATTCACTATATCCGGTCTCCCTGGACCCTGCATTCACTATATCCACTCTCCCCGGACCCAGCATTCACTATATCCGGTCTCCCCGGACCCTGCATTCACTGTATCCGGTCTCCCCGGACCCTGCATTCACTATATCCGGTCTCCCCGGACCCTGCATTCACTATATCCACTCTCCCCGGACCCTGCATTCACTATATTGGGTCTCCTCGGACCCTGCATTCACTATATCCGGTATCCCCGGACCCTGCACTCACTATATCTGCTCTCTCCGGACCCTGCATTCACTATATCTGCTCGTTGCGGACCCTGCATTCACTATATTTGGTCTCCCCGGACCCTGCACTCACTATATCTGCTCTCTCCGGACCCTGCATTCACTATATCTGGTCTCCCCGGACCCTGCATTCACTATACCTGGTCTCTCCGGACCCTGCATTCACTATACTTGGTCTCCCCAGACCCTGCATTCACTATATCTGGTCTCCTCAGACCCTGCATTCACTATATCTGGTCTCCCCGGACCCTGCATTCACTATATCTGGTCTCCCCGGACCCTGCATTCACTATATCTGGTCTCCCCGGACCCTGCACTCACTATATCTGCTCTCCCCGGACCCTGCATTCACTATATCTGCTCTCTCCGGACCTGCATTCACTATATCCGGTCTCCTCAGACCCTGCATTCACTATATCCGCTCTCCCTGGACCCTGCATTCACTATATCCGGTCTCCCCGGACCCTGCATTCACTATATCCGGTCTCCCCGGACCCTGCATTCACTATATCCGGTCTCCCCGGACCCCGCATTCACTATATCCGGTCTCCTCTGACCCTGCATTCACTATATCCGGTCTCCCTGGACCCTGCATTCACTATATCCGGTCTCCCCTGACCCTGCATTCACTATATTTGATCTCTCCGGACCCTGAATTCACTTCTGCCTGGCTAACCATTTATCCACTGTGCTGCCCTACATGAAGCTGATCTCTTTTTTTACATGGATATGCCATTGCTGTATATCCCGGCATCATAGGGCACTGTGGACATTCAAAAGACAGACATTAGTAGAAGCTGTTTCCTTTTAGACTATCTCTCTCTAATTGAAAGTCTAAATAGAACTTTATCAATAGGCAGGCTGAGAGTTTGCCTGGAGTTTGCATGTTCTCCCTGTGCCTGCGTTGGTTTCCTCTGGGTATTTCAGTTTCTTACCATGCTCCAAAGACATGCTGGTAGGTGAATTGGCTCCTGTCTAAATTGTCCCTAGTATGTGTATGTATGAATGTGAGTTAGGGACCTTAGATTGTACACACCCTTTGAGGGTTTCTGTGTGTGATTTGGGGTTCATTGTGCTCATGGGTGCAGCCATATTTGCTCCATACACAGGCTTTACAACTGTTTTGCTTTATTGCTCCCAATCCCAGCATGTTGGTGTACTGACCCTCTGACACCGTGCACTGCCTATATAGCTGAAAGGAACTATGAGCAAACCCATAAAGTCACACGTGATGCTCTTTTTCTATTGCAGTTTCACAACGGTCTCCCAGCTCCTGTCCCTGCAGAAGTCTCCATGTGTGTCCGCCCTGGGCTGGGACACCGAGCGCTTTCAGCAATGGAGACACGAGGGTTTGCAGCAGACAAAAGTGAGCCAGCCTCCAGCCGTCCTCTCCAGAGCTCGCCTCCTCCTGGTGGGGTATATATCCAACAGTCGGACAAGAGACAGCCCAGTGTATGATGGGAACTTGTACGTCAGGGACTCCAGTGGATGCATACTTGCGAGGTAAGTTGTATATCGAGGACAGGGCTTCTCCTCAAAGAACTGATAATATATTAGAACCCCAGAGCATCTTCAGAAAACCTGCAGCTTTTTCCTGGAAACTAGATCATGGAGGGTAACGTTTGGATCCATGTATGTAGTATGGTCAGCACTCCTCAATTCTAAAGCAAGAGAAGAGTGTCATCCATGTGAAAGAGCCCTGATTGGTTAAAGTGTCCACGGGAAAGAGCCCTGATTGGTTAAAGTGTCCACGGGAAAGAGCCCTGATTGGTTGAAGTGTCCACGGGAAAGAGCCCTGATTGGTTAAAGTGTCCACGGGAAAGAGCCCTGATTGGTTAAAGTGTCCACGGGAAAGAGCCCTGATTGGTTAAAGTGTCCACGGGGGGAAAGAGCCCTGATTGGTTAAAGTGTCCACGGGAAAGAGCCCTGATTGGTTAAAGTGTCCACGGGAAAGAGCCCTGATTGGTTAAAGTGTTTTCCAAAAAATGAGACGATGAACTAATACTATACACCCTAGCCCCCCCCCCCCCCCACATGTCTCCACTGTACTTACCTCCGTGGGTGATGAACTGACGGTGCCCCTGCAGCCGGTGCAGCATTCTCCCTCTCCTTCCTTATATCCCTCCTCTTTCTTCAGGGTTTCCAGGACGGATCAGAGCGATTCTGATTGATGACCATCGCTCTGATCTATAAGACTACCCTGTCCACAGGGTGACAATGCCGCTCTACAATTTCCTTGTAGAATGAACTGTGTTTCCTCCCGCTTTCCTCCCTTCGTATTGCTGATCCAGATACAACATGTAGGATGTCACTTGCAGGTCCCAATGACAGTTTCCCCGGCAAGTATGGCCGAGAAAGAATACAAATGGCACCTGCATTCCCTGCCTGTTCGTGCTCCCTGGGAGCGCGCGGCACTGCGATCCGGTGCCCTCTGTGTCTGGAGGACACAGCGGAACACCGATCGCTATACGGGACCTTTGTGTGAGGTCCCAATTTATGTGATCACTGATTTCCTTTCTTTTAGATTGTAAGCTCCACGAGCCGGGCCCTCATATTCCTTCTGTACTGAAATTTATTGTAATTGTATTGTCTCCCTTTATATTGTAAAGTGCTGAGCAAACCATTGGCACTATATAAATCCTGTATAATAATAATAATAATTGGCCATTGTCACTTCCTGACATCATTGCTTTACTACTTGTGAAATCTGTGAATGATCACAGAGATCACATGGTACAGGGCTATTCACAACAGTCTTGTACCATGTGACAAGCTGTGACCAATCACAGCTCTCGCAGTATTATTATTATTATACAGGATTTATATATTATTATTATTATACAGGATTTATATATTATTATAATACAGGATTTATATATTATTATTATTATACAGGATTTATATATTATTACTATTATACAGGATTTATATATTATTATTATACAGGATTTATATATTATTACTATTATACAGGATTTTTATATATTATTATTATACAGGATTTATATATTATTATTATACAGGATTTATATAGCGCCAACAGTTTGCTCAGCGCTTTACAATATAACAGGAGACAATACAGCAACAATACAGCTCAATACAAGAGGGAGAGGAGGGCCCTGCTCCTTGGAGCTTACAATCTATTTCTCAATGGCTGCAAGAATGCAGCCAGAGAGAAGGAGAAATGATTGCTTTTACAGCCTTTATGGGTGTAAAAGTAATCCGTGTAAAAAAAGAAAAAACAAATCTTCATCACCCCCCACAAGTAGTACAGTGTCACCATGGTGACACTGTACTGCTAGGGTGACAGTATGTTTATATTATTATTTATGGTTTTGTTTTTTAATCTAAAAATGTAAAAAATCTTTTTGAAAAATTATTATTTTTGGTTATAAACTAATTTGTGTTATTCTTTTTTTTTCTACTAAAAAGATAGCCGAATACATTTTGGCCAAATTTTATGAAGAAAGATCATTTATTTGCAAAATTTTATAAGAAAAAAAAGTTTAGACTTTTTAATTTATATAGCAAAAAAAATAAAAATCCCAGTGGTGAATAAACACCACCAAAATAAAGTTTTATCTGTCTCAAAAAAATGCTAAAAAAATTCATATGGGTACAGTGTTGCATGACCGCGAATTGTCATTCAAAGTGTGATAGCGCTGAAAGCTGAAAATTGTCCTGTAGGCAGGAAGGGGGTAGAAGTGTCCTGTAGGCAGGAAGGGGGTAGAAGTGTGCCCTGTAGGCAGGAAGGGGGTAGAAGTGCCCTGTAGGCAGGAAGGGGGTAGAAGTGCCCTGTGGGCAGGAAGGGGGTAGAAGTGTCCTGTGGGCAGGAAGGGGGTAGAAGTGCCCTGTAGGCAGGAAGGGGGTAGAAGTGTCCTGTAGGCAGGAAGGGGGTAGAAGTGCCCTGTGGGCAGGAAGGGGGTAGAAGTGTCCTGTAGGCAGGAAGGGGGTAGAAGTGTCCTGTGGGCAGGAAGGGGGTAGAAGTGCCCTGTAGGCAGGAAGGGGGTAGAAGTGCCCTGTAGGCAGGAAGGGGGTAGAAGTGACCTGTAGGCAGGAAGGGGGTAGAAGTGCCCTGTAGGCAGGAAGGGGGTAGAAGTGCCCTGTAGGCGAGGGGTTAAAATTTAACATGTTTGGTATCTATTTACTTGGTATATCTTCCTCCTTTTATATTTTACCAAATTGGGTAATTTATTGCATATTTGTGTCCTAAAACTTAACTGTAGAGTATTTTTTACTGACATTTTGGATTTCCCGGACCTTTGTGGTCATATTGCGTGACATAAAAAATTGCAACTACCGCATTATTATTCTCCAGGGTGTCTGCTTTCAGAAAAAATATATACTTTTTTCAGGGGGGGGGGGTTATACAGTCTTCGGGCCTAAAATGATTTTTTAATTGTGTGCAAAAAAAAACGGCTCTGGCAGAGAAAAAGCTAACGCCAGTCCCTGCAGCAGCCTATGCTCACGTATCCTTTACTCCTCTTCTGCCTGAAGGAGGTACCCTACACTTCCACTATGGGGGAGCTTGTAACTCACTCTCTTTCCCGGATCATGCAGCTGTCCTGTCTCATGGGAACAAGGGGGAGAGCCCTCAGCCCTGTGTAAGCTCCCAAGTCGAGGCTTGGCTTCTACTCTTCACTTCTGGTGGTGGAAAGGCAGCGGAGCAAAGTGAAGATGAGTATAAGCTGCTGTGGGCGTCAACTTGCCCTTGGTGGGCAACTGTGGCCCTCCAGCTGTTGGTGAACTACAAGTCCCATCATGCCTCTGCCTTTGGGAGTCATGCTTGTAACGGTCAGTTTTGCAATGCCTCATGGGACTTGTAGTCCTACAACAGCTGCAGGGCCACAGTTGCCCACCCCTGATCTAGCCTATTGCAAGTCTGACTGCAGTGCCAACGACTTCTACTGCTGGAGTTAAAATGAAATCTGCATTATCAATGGTCCTCGTGACACAATATTATCTCAGCTGTGATTCCGTGTCTTTATTGTCCTTCCTATATACAGACTGTTACATTGTTACTGTGACGGAGGTCCCATACCGTGACTGTTACATTGTGTTGGCTAGGTACCTTCAGGTTTATATCACAGTATTATTGTTTTTTTTCCCCCCCCAGATGTCCATGTGCGATTTAAACCTATTGGGGTCACTAGTCTTCTTCCCTTGCTGGTCCTACATTCCCATCCAACATGGAGGCAGCTATGTGGAGGTCCTGTCTTCTCCTATCTCAGTCACCACCCCAGTGGTGAGACCAGAAGTGCTGGACCCGGCCAACACCACAGCTCTTAACCCTGGCAAAGCCTCCCAGCTTTTGTGTAGCAGGTAAAAGGATGTTTTCTTTCTTTTTTTATTCTGTCCGTTTCCTCTTCGTTCAACTCGCCCAGCCTATGTCTCTTTTTCAAATTTTTTTTTTCGGCTTCCCCAGCCTTCTTTTCTTTTTCTGGTCATCCAGCTCTGTTCTCTAAATCTGCCCTCTCCAGCCTCGGCCTGCAGTCCTGCCCTCTGCAGCCATGATTTTTAATTCTAGCTTCCACATCTTTAATCTTTGGTTCTGATTCCAGTCTCCCCATGCTCCTTCCTGGATTCTGGCTTCCCCATTCTCCTTTCTTGATTCTGGCCTCCCCATTCTCCTTCCTTGATTCTGGCCTCTCCATTCTCCTTCCTTGATTCTGGCCTCTCCATTCTCCTTCCTTGATTCTGGCCTCCCCATTCTCCTTCCTTGATTCTGGCCTCTCCATTCTCCTTCCTTTATTCTGGCCTCCCCATTCTCCTTCCTTGATTCTGGCCTCCCCATTCTCCTTCCTTGATTCTGGCCTCTCCATTCTCCTTCCTTGATTCTGGCCTCTCCATTCTCCTTCCTTGATTCTGGCCTCTCCATGCTCCTTCCTTGATTCTGGCTTCCCCATTCTCCTTCCTTGATTCTGGCCTCCCCATTCTCCTTCCTTGATTCTGGCCTCCCCATTCTCCTTCCTTGATTCTGGCCTCCCCATTCTCCTTCCTTGATTCTGGCCTCCCCATTCTCCTTCCTTGATTCTGGCCTCCCATTCTCCTTCCTTGATTCTGGCTTCCCCATTCTCCTTCCTTGATTCTGGCTTCCCCATTCTCCTTCCTTGATTCTGGCTTCCCCATTCTCCTTCCTTGATTCTGGCCTCCCCATTCTCCTTCCTTGATTCTGGCCTCCCCATTCTCCTTCCTTGATTCTGGCCTGCCCATTCTCCTTCCTTGATTCTGGCCTCCCCATTCTCCTTCCTTGATTCTGGCCTCCCCATTCTCCTTCCTTGATTCTGGCCTCCCCATTCTCCTTCCTTGATTCTGGCCTCTCCATTCTCCTTCCTTGATTCTGGCCTCTCCATTCTCCTTCCTTGATTCTGGCCTCTCCATGCTCCTTCCTTGATTCTGGCCTCTCCATTCTCCTTCCTTGATTCTGGCCTCCCCATTCTCCTTCCTTGATTCTGGCCTCCCCATTCTCCTTCCTTGATTCTGGCTTCCCCATTCTCCTTCCTTGATTCTGGCTTCCCCATTCTCCTTCCTTGATTCTGGCTTCCCCATTCTCCTTCCTTGATTCTGGCCTCCCCATTCTCCTTCCTTGATTCTGGCCTCCCCATTCTCCTTCCTTGATTCTGGCCTGCCCATTCTCCTTCCTTGATTCTGGCTTCCCCATTCTCCTTCCTTGATTCTGGCTTCCCCATTCTCCTTCCTTGATTCTGGCCTGCCCATGCTCCTTCCCGGATCTGATCCTCTTCCTTTCTTCTCTTCTGATTTTTACACCCTCACTGATTTTCCACATTTTATTACATTCAGTCTCATCTAAAACTCTCGCTTTTCCAGCTTCTCTTCTCTGCAGTGTAGTCATTAAACTATCTCTCCACCAACTTGAGGATCTGATAAACAGTAGAATGTAATTCCTATCCAGAGTATCAGTTTATGGATGTCATTGTTCTTATAAGCATGCCCAAAGTATATGCAGATAGGTTTGTTATATTATTGCTGTTGTGTCATTTACCCCATATTTACATTGCATGACGGGATCTAATTCTTATTCATATCAGCAGTGATTCCATGTATGATTCCATGTATGATTCCATGTATGATTCCATGTATGAACTGTCTGTGCCTCTTCTTCTCCCAGGTCCCATCCTCGAGGGTTTCGAGTTTCAGTGACTGGTCAGCTGGTGTCCATCACATCACTCATCAATATCCGGGACAAACCTTTCTTCTTTTTCTTTCTTCAGGATAGAGATAAAGCAAAGTTTGTTCCAGTCATAGTGAAGGTGTGTGTATTCTTCGCTGTGTATTCTTCGTTGTGTATTCTTCGCTGTGTATTCTTCATTGTGTATTCTTCCTTGTGTAATGGATGGGAAACATGCATGAAATCAGCCTCTTGTTGCTGTGCCTCCCTGCAGGAGAAGGACAGACTCATAATCTGGCCATAGACAGATCAAATTATTATTATTATTATACAGGATTTATATATTATTATTATTATTATTATTATACAGGATTTATATATTATTATTATTATTATACAGGATTTATATATTATTATTATACAGGATTTATATATTAATATTATTATACAGGATTTATATATTAATATTATTATACAGGATTTATATATTATTATTATACAGGATTTGTATATTAATATTATACAGGATTTATATATTATTATTATTATTATACAGGATTTATATATTAATTATTATTATACAGGATTTATATATTAATATTATTATACAGGATTTATATATTATTATTATTATACAGGGTTTATATATTATTATTATTATTATTATACAGGATTTATATATTATTATTATTATACAGGATTTATATATTATTATTATTATTATTATTATTATACAGGACTTATATAGCTCCAACAGTTTGCTCAGCGCTTTATAATGGGAGACAATACAGCAACAATACAGTCCAATACAAGAGGGTTAGGAGGGCCCTGATCCTGGTTGTACTGAAGTTGATCTGTCGATCAACTTCAGTACAGCCAAACTGTGTGTTATCGGTGGGGTTTTTAACCAATTCCATACCGGACAATTTTACACCTTCCGGCCCAGGCCAGTTTTCAGCGTGCTCACACTTTGAATGACAATTGCGCGGTCATACAACATTGTACCCAAACTAAAATTTTAACATTTTCTTCACACAACTAGAGCTTTCTTTTGGTGGTATTTAATCACCGCTGGAGTTTTTATTTTTTGCTAAATTAACAACAAAATCCAAAAATTTTGAAAAAAAAAAGTTTTTCTTTGTTTCTGTTATAAAAGTTTGCAAATAAATAATTGTTCTTCATAAATTTAGGCCGAGATGTATTCTGCTACATGTCTTTGGTGAAAATAACCCAAATTAGGATGTATTATTTAGTTTGTAGGAAGGTTATAGAGTTCACAAACTATGGGATAGATCTGAATATTGATCAGTCCTGAAGTACTGACAGCCAATCTAATTTTCTTGAGGTCCAAGAATGTCAGAACAGTACAGATATCCCCCCAAATGTCAGAACAGTACAGATATCCCCAAATGTCAGAACAGTACAGATATCCCCCAAATGTCAGGCAGTACAGATATCCCCCAAATGTCAGAACAGTACAGATATCCCCCAAATGACCCCTTTTTGCAAAGTAGACAGTCCGACATACTTCATAAGAGGAATGGCAAGTTTTTTGAAGTTGTATTTTTTTGTCATAATTTTTCGGAAAATTAAAAACTTAAAAAAATTAGTTTCACTGTTTTTTTTTTACATACTGTCACCAGTGCAGTACAGCGTCATCATATAACTGGCATGGCGGTGATCAGGGACCCTGACTGGTGACAGTATGAAAAAAAAAAAAATATATATATTTTTTTTTTTATTTTATTATTTTTTATTTTTTTATTACATTTTTTTTTTTAAGATTTTTTTTTTCATATTTCACTATGACCAAAGTAGTACAATGTTACCATAGTATCATTGTACTACTTAGGGGAAGTGATCAGTATTTTTTTTTTTTTTTTACACAATTTGCTTATAGCAAAGAATTACTTTGCTATAAAGCAAGCATTTACCTGAATGACATCGATTCATTCAGGGTTTTTTTTTTTTTTTTGTTTGTTTTTTTTTTTTGTGCTTAGCTGTGATTTGACCACAGCTAATCACATGACATGTGCATGTGATTAGCTGTGACCATTCACAGCTAGGCACTAGTATACAATGGATGGCATGAATGAAGCCATCCATTGTATACAACTGTCATGTGACCTGCTGTGATTGGTCACAGCAGGTCACATGGTACCCGGCAACGGGGCCGATACTCAGATCTGTCATCGGCCGTGTCCGGAGGTGTCCGCTGCGCCGTTCTGCAGGAGCGCAATCTGCGCATATGCGGGAGGACGCCGTATGGCGTCCACCCGGAACGCTGATGACATTTGCCGCCCGCCATTCGGCCATAGGGCGGGCGGCAAATGGTTAATCACAGTCGGCAGCTATAGCCTCCAGCTGTGATCATTGTATTCTGGCGGCTGAGAAAGTTTCTTTCTGTCAGAGTACAAAAGTGTAGTGAGAAGGATTCCCTCATCAACGCTGACTGTGTTGATGAGGGAATCAAGATATTTTCTTTTCTTTAAACCCGTGGTCGGAGGAAAGAAAACTGCATAATGTATGGCCTACATTAGCTATCTTCTATCTGTATCATCCTGCAGGAGGAGGACAGACTCATTATTGTTTTTATACAGGACTTGTATAGTGCCAACAGTTTGCTCAGCGCGCTTTACATTATAACGGGAGACAATACAGCAACAATACAGTTCAATACAAGAGGGTTAGGAGGACCCTGATCCTGGGAGCTTACAATCTAGGGAGCTTACAATCTAGGAGGACTCATAGCCCCCTTCTGTCTGTATCACCCTGCAGGAGGAGGACAGACTCGTAGCCCCCTTCTGTCTGTATCGCCCTGCAGGAGGAGGACAGACTCATAGCCCCCTTCTGTCTGTATCATAGCCCCCTGCAGGAGGAGGAGGACAGACTCGTAGCCCCCTTCTGTCTGTATCACCTTGCAGGAGGAGGGACAGACTCATAGCCCCCTGTCTGTCTGTATCGCCCTGCAGGAGGAGGACAGACTCATAGCCCCCTTCTGTAGACCCCTTCTGTCTGTTTCTGTATCACCCTGCAGGAGGAGGACAGACTCATAGCCCCCTTCTGTCTGTATCACCCTGCAGGAGGAGGACAGACTCATAGCCCCCTTCTGTCTGTATCACCCCGCAGGAGGAGGACAGACTCATAACTCCCTTCTGTTCCTGTCTTTGCAGGTGCCACAAAAGCTCTGTTGGTATCATGCTCTGCACATCGGCAACACATACGAAGTGACATCTCTCTCAGTATCCTCTCTCCGTGGGTCTGTGCAGCAGCATTTATCCTCTCTCCGGGGTCTGTGCAGCAAATTTTTGCCATTACCTCCTCTTCTCGTCTCATCCCTCGTCCTACACTTCCCCCGCCATGTTCCTCCATCCATACTAAAGAAAATTCAGAAGAGCTTACAGATACCTCCAGTGGCAGGAAGAGCAGTGCTTTAACCCAGAGGAACAGGTGAGGGAAAAGCAACAAAAGATGTCAAAGACCCTAACCTATGAGGTGAGTAAATTCAAGTCCTAACCTCTTTTACTGTGTCTGTCTTCTCTGTTAAAGAGTGTTTTTTTCATGTTTTCATGGTGCCAATAGAAAAATGAGTCTGATTCACTAGTGCTTATGGTGACTCAGCCTATCCAATCACTAGAGACCAGTGACATCACCGACACTTCATATTCATGAGAACACAGCCCATCCAATCACTAGAGACCAGTGACATCACCGACACTTCATATTCATGAGAACACAGCCCATCCAATCACTAGAGACCAGTGACATCACCGACACTTCATATTCATGAGAACACAGCCCATCCAATCACTAGAGACCAGTGACATCACCGACACTTCATATTCATGAGAACACAGCCCAGTGTCCAACTTCACTAGAGACCAGTGACATCACCGACACTTCATATTCATGAGAACCGACACAGCCCGTCCAATCACTAGAGACCAGTGATATCACCAAAACTTCATATTCCTGTGAACACAGCCCGTACAATCACTAGAGACCAGTGACATCACCGACACTTCATATTCATGAGAACACAGCCCGTCCAATCACTAGAGACCAGTGACATCACCGACACTTCATATTCATGAGAACACAGCCCATCCAATCACTAGAGACCAGTGACATTATCAACATTTCATATTCATGAGAACACAGCTTGTCCAATCACTAGAGACCAGTGACATCACAGACACTTCATATTCATGAGAACACAGCCCATCCAATCACTAGAGACCAGTGACATCGCTGACACTTCATATTCCTGAGAACACAGCCCGTCCAATCACTAGAGACCAGTGACATCACCAACACTTCATATTCCTGAGAACACAGCCCGTCCAATCACTAGAGACCAGTGACATCACCAACACTTCATAATCATGAGAACACAGATCAACCAATCACTAGAGACCAGTGACATCACAGACACTTCATATTCATGAGAACACAGCCTGTCCAATCACTAGAGACCAGTGATATCACCAAAACTTCATATTCCTGTGAACACAGCCCGTCCAATCACTAGAGACCAGTGACATCACCGACACTTCATATTCATGAGAACACAGCCCGTCCAATCACTAGAGACCAGTGACATCACTGAGACTTAACATTTACGAGAACACATCCTGCTGACAGTAGAGATCAGTGATTTATACATCACATTATAATGATTTGTTCTTTATCTGTAGGGTGTTGTGACACGTGTCCGGGATGCCAGTGCCGGTCTATATGAGCTGGATGGGGCAGTGGTACTCTGCACTGCTTACACACAGCTTCATAATGGGGGAAGAGGACTTAGAGAGGGGGCGAGAGTTGAGGTAAGTAGATGTGGAAGGAGAGGCTAGTTACTCTGCTGACGGGTGAGACTGGGCTTAATAAAACTCCATATGTCCTGTATGAAATAAAAGGAAAAAAAAACTCCACCAGCATGTTCAAAATATTGTAGCTGATGGCTATCCTGAAGATTTTCCTGTTGTGAATGGAAGTATGACTGCCTGCAGCTTCCTAATTATATTCATTTCTCTTTCGCTGTGATGGTATCATTACTCATCTGTTCAGGGCAGGCCTAGACCTCTGCAATGTACAGAGTACTGAGTCCTTCTTCTCTGTCCTTTTCTAGGAGGAGCCTATAGCCCAGGAACCTCAGTCTATTCAGTGTGTAAATACCCATATAGAAGAAAAATATATTTAAAATATATTTTAAAAATATTCTTCCCAAATGTATTGCCATATATTTGAAATGCTACAATGTTGGCCATATTTAAAAATATATATTTTTTAAAAAATATTTTTTTGAAATATATTCTTCAGATTGTTTTTTTAACATATAAAAAAGTAATTTTAACATATATTTTTACATATATTTGTAAATACATTCCAAAAATGTAGATTTGTATTTTTAAAGGCATACAGTATATTTGAAATTTTATTTTTTAAAAACATTTTTCATATGTTTTGGAATGAAAACGCATTTCAACATGCTGTGTGTGTGTATGTATATGTATGTGTGTGTGTATATATATATATATATATATATATTTGCAAGAAAAAGTATGTGAACCCCTTGGGATTATGTGGAGTTTTGCATGAATTGGGCATAAAATGTGCTGTGAATGTCATCTAAGTCACAACAATAGAAGAACACAGTCTGCTGAACATAATACTACACAAACATTAGATGTTGCCATGGTTTAATTGCACATAACATGTAAACATTCACAGTGCAGGGAGGAAAAAGTATGTGAACCTTTGGACTTAATAACTGGTTGACCCTCCTTTGGCAGCAATAACCTCAACCAAATGTTTCCTGTAGTTGCAGATCAGACCTGCACAACGATCTGGAGTCATTTTGGACCACTCCTCTTCACAAAACTGTTTCAGTGTAGCAATATTCTTGGGATGTCTGGTGTGAATCGCTCTCTTAAGGTCATGCCACAGCATTTCAATCTGGTTGAGGTCAGGACTCTGACTGGACCACTCCAGAAGGCGTATTCTCTGCTGTTGCAGCCATTGTTTTGTTGAATTACTTGTATGCTTTGGGTCATTGTCCTGTTGCATCACCCATCCTCTGTGGAGCTTCAGTTGGCGGACAGATGGTCGTACATTTTCCTGCAAAATGTCTTGATAAACTCTGGAATTCATTTTCCCATCAATGACAACAATCCGTCCAGGCCCTGAGGCAGCAAAGCAGCCCCAAACCATGATGCTCCCTCCGCCATGTTTTACAGTGGGGATGAGGTTTTGATGTTGGTGTGCTGTGCCTTTTTTTCTCCACACATAGTGTTGTGTGTTCTTCCCAAACAACTCAATCTTGGTTTCATCTGTCCACAGTATATTTTGCCAGTAGTGCTGTGGAACATCCAGGTGCTCTTTTGCAAACTTCAAACATGCTGCAATATTCTTTTTGGACAGCAATGGCTTCCCCCGTGGTGTCCTCCCATGTACTCCATTCTTGTTTAATGTTTTCCTTATTGTAGATGTGTCAACAAAAATGTTAGCATGTGCCAGAGATTTCTGTAGGTCTTTAGCTGACACTGGGATTCTTCTTTACCTCAGCAGCATTCTGCGCTGTGCTCTTGCAGTCATTTTTACAGGATGACCACGCCTAGGGAGAGTAGCAACAGTGCTAAACTTTCTCCATTTGTAGACAGTCTGTCTTACCGTGGACACATGAACATCAAGGCTTTTGGAGATACTTTTGTAACCCTTTCCATCTTCATGCAAGTCAACAATTCTTGATCGTAGGTCTTTCGAGAGCTCTTTTCTGCGAGGCATGGTTCACATCAGACAGGGCTTCTTGAAACCAGTAAACCCAAAACAGGTGTGTGTTTTTTAAGGGCAGGACAGCTGTCAGCAACACATCCAATATCATCACACTGATTGGAGTCAAGGTTGGCTCACTCCTGGCTCCAATTAGCTCTGGGAGAAGTCATTAAGCTAGGGCCTCACATACTTTTTCCTCCCTGCACTGTGAATGTTTACGTTATGTGCAATTAAACCATGGCAACATCTAATGTTTGTGTAGTATTATGTTCAGCAGACTGTGTTCTTCTATTGCTGTGACTTAGATGACGTTCAGAGCACATTTTATGCCCAATTCATGCAAAACTCCACGTAATCCCAAGGGGTTCACATACTTTTTCTTGCAACTGTATATATATATATATATACACACACACACACACTGCATGTTGAAATGCGTTTTTATTCCAAAATATTTTTAATATTTCAAATATACTGTATGTCTTTAAAAATACAAATCTACATATTTGGAATGCATTTACAAATATATGTAAAAAAATATATGTTAAAATTACTTTTTTAGATGTTAAAAAAAAATCTGAAGAATATATTTAAATATATATTTTTAAATATGGCCAACTTTGTAAGCTCAAAAGAGCAGGGCCCTCGATCCCCTCATGTTTTGCATTGTATTGGTATTGTTCTGTCACATGTTCTGTCCCCCATTGTAATGTACAGCGCTGACCGAACTATTGGCGCTTTATAAATACTGTATAATAATAATAATAATATATTTGTGAAGAATATTTTTAAAATATAATTTTCTTCCATATGGGTAAAGCTGGATCCTAGACAGATATTTATTATACATTTATTAACCTGCAAAATGCCCACATTTGAAATGTATTCTACTGAAAAAAGAAATGCATTCTAAGTTTTGTGGATGCAGCTCCTAAGTGTGTATTCTCCTTGACCCTTCTGTTCTCTCCCAAACCACACACAGAACCTCTTTCCACTCTGTTATGTGAGTGCCTCATGCCTCTGTATCAGATGTGCTGCCTTGAGCCTCTCTGATAGGCACAGTGCTTCATACCCCTTTATTACACAGATTGCCTTAGGCCTCTCTGTTACACACAATACCAACCCTCACAAGCGGTGCCTAATCCTTCTTTATCACACAGTACCTAATACCTTTATTGCACACGGTGCCTCATACTGATTTGCTACACACAGTGCATCATGCTTCTCTATTGCATGCAGTGCATCATACTTCTGTATTACATGATTTTCCTCACACCCCTCTATTACATGCCATTCTCCCCTTCACAGGCACTGTGACACTTAAAGGAACCCTTCTGCTATTCCCCCTGCAGCTCCATGCAAAGCAAACACTTAATACTTACCTATCTCACTGCCAATGGCATCAAACTCTGTAGTGCTATTTGCATACCATTTGAAAACACACATTTGCTGAGAGCGCTCACCCTGCGCACTCCCAGCACATATATGTCGGTGTCTCACGGAAAGGTCCCGATCTCCCCTTACGATTGGGACCTTTTCCGATCATGTGACAGCAAATCACAGCAGTCACATGACCCTAAAACCCCGCCCTGCCTCCCGGCATCTGAAACCTCTTAAAGGGCGAAGACGTTTAACTAAGTCTTAAACTGTATGCCTGTCACCAGTAGTGTCACCCCCACCTGAGTTCTTTCCTGCTAGACTACAGAAAACCTCCACCTCTCGTCATCTCTTTAACTTTGGGGGTGTTCTGTAGCTCAGCCGCTAAAAAACTCTCTTGCAACATTGCAAATTACCGGTTCAAGGAAAAGGGGGGGATGCAATGGCTATCACTAATGTTTACTTGTCTGTCTGTCCCTCCCATCTGTCTCAGGCATGTGACGTTCACCTCCAGCAGTCTCCGAGCCCCCTCTTCCCTACCATCATCCTCTCCACCTGTCTAAGAAGCCGAGTCCGAGTCTTCGAATTCTCTCGTCTTAGCGCTCCGTGTTCTTTGTTTTCCGGTTCTGGGAATCTCTTCCTCCACCTTCTCTTCCACTACCGACTGAGACTTCCAGAATACCTCTGGGTTTGTGACATCATAAGGCAGCTGCAGGAGAAGTAAGTGGTGGGGCAGGTGGGTGGGGAAGCCATGTCTATCGGCTATTGAAAGTGAACTTTATCTGGTAGCACCTTGTGGTTTAAAGAGAGTTATTCTTTAACCCCTTCATGCCTAAGGGTATAACAAATCCAAATGCCTAAGCACAATTTTGCAACGTTGACATGTGTTAATAAAACCGTACATATCATCACAACTACTTTGTACATCCGGGTGAATTCTTCCGCATTTTTTCAGGACAAATTGGGCTTTCAGTTGGTGGTAAATGGTAATGGATATCTCCTGATTTTTTTATTATTATCAAAGGAAAACTGGCCAAAAAATAGTAAAAAAAAAATTTTTTTTTTTATTTAGCTGTTAGGTTATGGTAGTAACAACAAACAACACAAAATAAATTCTGCAGCTCTTGACGATCCCAGCGATACCCTATATGTGTATGTTATTTGTTGTTTGTACCCATAGTACAGCCCAGAAACAATAGTGAACATTTTATTTTTGTTTTCTTTTACCTAAAACACACTGACACTAAAAAAATTTTTTTTCAATCCTGACCTTTGACCCTGACCTTGACCCAAACACTTACCCTGGCACTGAACTAGATCAAACCTTTGATCTAGTCATTTTTTCTTTTATTTTTTAAATATTTTTTTATACTTTTTGTAAAGAAAAAAAATTTTTTTTTTTCACTTTATGCCAGGAGTTAGAGCGATACAATGTATCTCTCTCCTCCATTCATAGAGTCAAAAAACAAGGGCATTTTTTCTTTTTTTATTAATATTTATTTTTTTTTTTTTTTTTTTCTTTACAAATATTTTTTTTCCGTTTATGCCAGGAGTTAGAGAAATACAATGTATCTCTCTCATTCATTCATAAAGAGAAAAAAAAACAAGGGGGCCGGGCTGTACAGTGACTGATCACTGTGATAGCCAATCAGAGGCTATCACAGTGATCATGTGACCCGGAATCAGGAGTCCCGTGTCCCGATCGTTAGAACGGGACCCAGTGCTCTATGAAATCCCAGTCTTTGTGCTGGGAGCGCGCCATGCGGTGCACTCCCAGCAGAAAGACAGGTACGCAAATATGCAGCCCCACGGAAAAAATCCCAGTTCTGTGAGGCCGCATATTTGTGTGACGTCGGCGTCAAGGGGTTAAACTATTCCTAGTAGATCACCTTCGGATCCTATGCTTAGGCTGTACATAGGGTTTTGGCTTTTGCCCAAATCTACATTAGGCCCAGCCCCTTCCCAACACTAAGCCCTACCCTTATGCCCCTTACACACGATAAGAAAATCGTACAAAACATTTAGTGGAACCCCTGATCGAACGATTTTCTCTTTGTTGATGAGCAGGATGTTTTAACCGATAACGATATTGTGAACAAAAAAATCCGGTTGAACAACAGTGAAAAATGTTGTCGTTTGCACATATGAACGACCGATTTTCTATGCGGTGGTATGACGGTCATACGAAAAAAATCTATCAAGCGCGATCACGCATGATCGGAAACAGAAGGTGACCCGGATGTTTATGTCTGAGGAATCTTCGTAAACACGAACGAAAAATCCAAATGTTAAAAGTAGATCGGCCCAATGAGATGATGAAACCAGAATTCTGCAGATTATATTTTATGTATCACTATTTCTGTATATAGGTCATGTAATAAACGATATTATACTCATTGCTGGGAATTGTTCTGTATATCGCTTGTTCTGGCCGGAAGGGCGTGGCTACAAGGTCACACGCACACCGCATCACTTCCACTTGTACGGAAGACATCAACACTACGTATTGCCCGACGAACGATTTTTTTAGATTGGTTAACCCCCCTGGCGGTATTCCCGAGTGTAGCTCGGGGTAAAGTTTCAATACCAAAAGCAGTAACCCCGAGCTACACTCGGGCTTACCATGCAGCGCTGCATAGGGAGTCCCTGCAGAGCTTACCTTGTCCTGCGCTCCCGCGATGTCCCCCCTGCAGCGTCCCCGGCCATCTCCTCCGGCCAATGCCGGCATCCGGCTTCTGTGTTCCGGTCCCTGTGACGTCGGGACGTACGGGCACCGGCGGCGGGAAATTTGAAAATTTTAAAAAATTTCATTTTTTTCCAAACAAATTTTACATAGTAAAACATTGCTGTTTCAACCCATTTCACATACATTTTGTCCCGAGTGCTTTGTCCGGCGCCCTGCCTGCATTTTTACTGTTCTTTCTGCCTGGAAACTGAGAAACGTCCATGGTGTCCAAAAAGTGTCCCTTTAGGTCAAAAGCGGTTTTAGACCGGCTAGAGAACAGCGATAGGAAATCAGAACCACTTGCAGAATTGAGTGATAATGATTGGTGGGGGAAATTCATCATCAGACACTGAAAACGATTCTGCGACTTTGCTCAGCAATGTGCGAACTTGGCGCTCTATTTCACATTTCAGTGTTTTTGGTTTGATTATATTATTCAATTAAATGTATTAATATTATTATTTTTTTATGATTATTTATTAATTTATAATTTAGGATTTTATGTTTCAAATTTTATCCTTCCGGGATGTTTACTAGACTCTTGTTCGGACAGATTTCAGTGAGTTATTCCTAAAAATTACAGCCTACAATAAAAAAACGACATATTTCCATGCAAAATAATGGTACCGCTTTCAGCACCAAAAATCTGAAATAATCATACCGCCAGGGAGGTTAATGTGGGCCACGATTTCGACCAACGAACGAACGCCTCTTGGTCGTCGGATGACCGATCGGTCATGTATTCCCACCTTTAGCATTCATCTAGCAAATACCTGGCGTGGAACTTGACAGCAGACTTTCATGGGCGGGGCTTAAAGCTGAACTCCAGAAGTTTTTCTTTGGATACTTTTATTGGTCCAGCTTGGCACAATGTACGTATACATGTCAGATACCTGAGGGGCTGATGGGGAACCTGGAAAACGCTGTACTAGTCGAAGCTTCTACAATCTTCAAGGTCCTGTACTGAGCAGCTTCCCCCTTGCACACTGACCAAAAGGGTCGCTTGCACGGCCGCCATTCATACGTCGTACAATGCTTTGTATGTTTTTCAGTGAATACAAAGCGTTCTTTGGTTGGACAAGGTGGAGAGAGGGTACAGTGGCGTCACATTCTCCACCTCATCCAAGCTGGACCAGAGTACGTGTGTAACCTGGAGTACTGCTTTAAAGTGGTTGTAAACCCTAATGCAGGCCATAGATGGGTTGAAAACCAGACGTTTTTTATTAATAAATGAAAAATCGGTCGTTCGATCGGCCGACATTACCACCAACGGTAAAAATAATCGGACGATCTTCGTCCCGTCTACGGCCGGCATTTAATTACTTCTGTCCCTTGCAGAGAGCTCTGCTATTATATTTGACATGAAAAAGTATTGCGGTTGCAACAATGTATCGATTTTGGATACAGATGTTTTTTATTCGGATACAAATAGATACATTGTTGCAATCGCGAGACTTTTCATATAAAATATAATGGCGGACTGGAATTCTTCTTCTCCTTCTTCCTTCTTCTTCCTCTCCTTCTTCTTCTTCTTCTTCCTTCTTCTTCTTCTTCTGCTGCTTCTTCCTCTCTTCTTCTTCCTCTCCTTCTTCTTCTTCCTCTCTTCTTCTTCTTCTTCTTCTTCTGCTGCTTCTTCCTCTTTTCTTCCTCTCCTACTTTTTCTTCTTCCTCTTTTTCTTCTTCCTCTTTTTCTTCCTCTTCTTCCTCTTCTTCCTCTTCTTCTTCTTCTTCCTCTTCTCCTCTTCTTCCTCTTCTTCTTCTTCCTCCCTTCTTCTTCTTCCTCTTCTTCCTCTCTTTCTTCTTCTCATGCGCAGATTTTTTATCAGTAAAACGATTGGCCGATTTGCCCATCATTGCCGTCAAAATCGTCCGCAAGTTTTCCAACTTGACCGATAAAAAAAAAATGTGCCAAAGCCCTGAAAAACATCTGACCAATTAACCCACTAACGGTGCGAAAATCAGCCAGTTTTTTTTTTTTTCTGGTGAAAAATCGCCCGATTTTTGACCCGTCTAAGGCCTGCATAAGGCTACTTTCACGCTGATCCGTAGTAAAGACACATATGCATTTTTACCACGTTTGCGGTGCATTTTTCACAGGACATGTGACTCAAAAATCACATCAAAAATGAAATGCGGATGCATTTTTGATTTTTTTTTTATGCGTTTTCCACCTTTTGAATGCATTTAAATGGGGAGGTGCGTTTTTGGTGCATTATTTACTAAACACAGGCTTTTACTAAACGCAACATATCAGTGTGAAGAGTTCCATAGGATGACATGGTCACATATTTTTCTTCCACTTTTTTTTTAATGCAAAAGCTGAAGAAAAATGGATCTGTGTGAAAGCAGTCTTACATAAATCCAGTGAAGTGACTGGCCTCAGGTGATACACAGAGATGATACAAATCCTCCTGCATAAGTTGTACCTGTTTTTCTACAGCCGTCTCTCCCCTACATCCATTCAAAGTGCAACATGCACACAGGATCACACAGGGATTGGGGAGCTGAAGTTACATCAGTGAGGAGGGTTCTGAGAGCTGATTCTGAGGAAAGTGGCAGGGTCTGCATCCCTTTAGACGTGATTTCCTATTGGGAGTATCTCAGCAAAACTGACATTTTTTTTGGTGCAGGAGATGCCTAAAATCTGACATGGATCCTAGTGTAAACTTCTGGGAAAATCATTGAGCCAATCACACAATCAGGAAATGATGTTGCTGAGGGTGTTCTGTACACAGAATGTGTACAGACCTCCAGGTAGCTGTATTGCATTGCATTTTACAGATTACAAATGATAGAGTTGCAGGTTGAAAAGGAAAGGCAATGTTTAAAAACATTCAATTTCAATATGACTTCTCGCAATGTATATGCTATTTTTTTTTATTTGCTGTTTTTTTTTACTCTTTTAAGGTTTGACATGCTCCTTATCTATTTACTTGGTGCAACCTCACCTTTTATTTTATTTTTTGTTACCAAAAATAGGGTAATCTATTGCAGT